CGCATCTCCTACCAACGCTATCCTAACCTGATTAGAACAAGTTACCACGGGTTAGGATGTTACCCGTCCGTTCGGGTACAGGATGTTGGGACCCAGGAGGATCGACGGCGGACATCGTTTGGAAGCGAAACTTCCTTTTCCGTTTTCTCCTACGCCGCGTAGTTTCCGAGTTACGGCTCTCCAAAGAACCGACCAATCGGAGCGCAGCATTCTTATTTCCGCTGTATCTCCGAAACCACGGGTCGTAGGAAAAAACGGTAAAGGAAGTTGCCTACTGGTACTACTACTTGCCTGCTTGTTTACTGTCGTAACCCTGCCCTAATTTCTTCCTCCTTCCGATGTTTACGAAAGAAAAAATCTCTTTATTCTTATTTTATTTATTTCAACTTCTCCAAATTTCACGTTAAGCTGCCGTGTATAGAAGTATATGCTTAGCGAATACACGTCCGACAGAATCAGTTACAGGGGCGTGTGGAAATATGCTGTTTCTGTGGCACTTGTATTCCTCTTTCAAAGCCATGCACGTAACGTCACGTTTGTTAAGTTATGAAATCAAGCTACACTTCGACTAGAGACTGTCTTCAAAAATGTGAAATACCGTTGTACCTGTCCAACTTTTTCCTCTTTCGAGTGATTTTCCTATCGTGCTTGTGCACCTGCGAATTCGCCTTGAAGACACTGTAAAGTTGAACGGCACGATGCGCAGCTCTCATCCATCGTAAGGACTTTGAAACCATACATGTTCTACTCGCATCGATAACGATTAAATGACTCTTTCGTTCTTATTGATTATTAATCGAATCGCTTAAAGGAAACTTCTCAAACCCGTGTTATAATTTCCTCGCCAATCTCATCTTTTTCCGTTCCTGCATCATCGGAGTCGGCATAATTGTTATGAGTAGTCTTCCCCGTGTGTCCGTTACTGAAAGTATTCTCGCCTTGACTTTCCGATAAATTGGACAATCTGCGAGATTCGATTTGACATTTTACGTTAGTTTCGTCTTGACTGGGCAAAATGGAACTAACGAGTCTCTCCACACCGGTAAGCTCCGAAGGCACGATTCCATCAATTTTGGATCGAGTCAAACTCTCAGAGCCCGTACCTATGGAGTTTGAAACAATTTTCTCAAATTCCGAATCGTTGGACTGGTTGAAATTTCCTGACTCGACCGAGGGCAGAGTCCCTAAACTGTTCTCTTTGGTGCAGCACTGCGACAAACTGCAGTAGGCTGCTCTGCAAGTGATCAAGCATCTGCCCTTGGGCATCCTGGGCTTCATCTGTGGAAAAAAAATTAGTCCGAAAGATGCTGAATTTGAAATGAAAAATTGGTTTGACAGTTTCACGCAGAAAAATCACCTTTACAAATTCTGGTTGTATCGTGACTTGAGTTATGCCCATCTCCAAGAAAAAAGCAGTAACTTGGTCCATGATAGTGGAGTAACCCTGCATTTGCAACCAATGAAGGAAAATTATTGTCTTTCCAAGGATAGTATTCGATCCTCCTATTAGAAGAATGGTATATCGTTCACCGTTGGATCCAAAAATATGATGTGCGCCGTAGAGATGACTCTTTCTCCGTTTAGCTGCCAAACGTGCAAATCGTGGACGTTGACGATCTCGGGAAAGACCCTCAGCAATTCTCGCTTCAGAGCATCGATATTGATATGATTGGGTATCGTTTGTAACAGTATCAGACCGGACTCTTTCACTGTGAACACCGTCGGATTCGATATTTAGATAAACTCGTTTCAAGTTGACTTCCAAAATCCCTTCTAGGATGGCGGAATGGAATGAAAGAAATCGATATCTTGTTAGAATAAAGAATTTGTCTGTAATTAAATATAACTGGAACTTTCAATGGTCTAGGATCAGTAGGCGGTGGTTTAAATTTGAGGGGTGTCTAGGATGCTTACTGTACGGATAACTGAGGGCCAATAACGAGATTGCCGAGATTATCGCGAAGACCGGATCGACGTATTTCGCGACGTTCGCATCGGTCAGATACACGATAATTGACGTAACGATGACGAAAATGCATCCCAAAACATCTCGAAACATTTCCCGAAGGCCCTGGGTCCTTGTCGATTGCAGAGATCTACGTTCTGTCGCTGCATTACGTTGTGGATCGCTCTCCGATACGGGCTTGAAGTGGACATTCCTGAAAATCGACCATTTGAAAAACTTTTCCCTCGTGGCAAACTGTATTTAAGTATTTCAAAAGAAAACGTACCCGTCGAATTTTAATCTATCGAGTCTGGTTGAACGAAAATCTTCAAGGAACCCGTGAGCAATTATGGAATGATAAAAATTGGAACTTCTACTCGTTAGTTTTGGCAAAGATGGTTTCCTCGTGAAATTAAAAGTAAATATAACTTGGAGCCCGAAAAGGCTGTAAACGAATGCACGATTTAAAAGCGATAAATTTCTTTGTCAAGGATGACAAGTCATCGGCGCGATCGTGGAACCATTCGATGGAACGTCGAACTTGTTTGAAAAACATCTACCTGCGCAGCATGACATCTCCATTCTCGGTCACGTGCACGAAGATGTCCTGATTGAACATGTATCCACCAATGAGGATGTAGCAGAAGGCATTTAGTAGAATACCTGCCGCCCCGATGCACATGACCGGCAGAGGTAGATGCATCTCGTCCAGATGGTCGATGTGAACCAGCGTCTGAAGCGCTTCCACCAGAAGCGAGAAGCAGAAGGAGGCGAGAAAGACGCAGCACACCAGCATGGACAAGATGTCGAATCTGGCCCAACCGAACGTGTTTTTCATCGTAGTTTCTGACCGTGATTGCTGAAACAGGAAACGCGCCATGGAGAGTCGTCGTTCCTCTCGTCGGACCAGTCAAAACGAGACATTGATAGTTTACGTATCTTGACTGCGTCGTTACGTTTAATTATTGGTGACAGAGAGAAAAAACGATTACGGTCCTATCTCATTCGCGTGACACAGAAATGAAAGATTTCGGTTGACGGCTACAAGTTAGCATTGTAACGCACTTCTCTGTCTATCGTACAGAACAGTAGAGAAGTTTAGCGTAGTTGAACTCGACGGGGTATATTTCACGTATACGGCGAAATGTCCGTCGTACATTTCCCGCGCTTCTCGATCTTCTTCGTCGAAACGAACGTACGGTTCGCGCATAAGTGGTCTCGTCAATTGTACAATTGTACAGTGGAATCGTAATAAAACTCGTGATCCTTCCGACTCGAAGATGCGAGGGGGCAAACACCGAAGCGTGAATCCCTAGAATCGAGCGACGGATGTTCTTTCTCGAAAAGAATGGCGTGGAGCGGCCTCGTCGACGACTCGAAACGATTAAGAGGATGGCTTCGAATCTCTCCAAGACATCGGGTATAAATTAATCAATCGTTGCTATAGGAGGTCCCTCCCTTACCTTGATCGAGGCGATGCAGCCCACGAGGGCGATAATGTTGCACAGCATGTGATACGCGTTCAAGAGGAGCGTAAGTGCGTGGGTCACGTAACTGGCAACGATTTCGACGATGAAGAAGGCAGTGGTAAGGAAGAGCACGAGATAGAGTTGTACCGGCTGCAAACGCCGAAACCACTCTTTGACCGCCATGTCGCTGCAAACGACGGAGTGTAGGTACTCGTTAATAACGTAGCGTTTCCCGCTTCGTTTCCGCGATCTACCGATTTCCTGGGTGACGTTGAAGAAATCGCTTCGCCACGACCAAGCGGAGTGCCTCGCGCCGCGTTACCCCGCGCCCACCATACCTAACTAACCGGCGGACAGAGATCTCGACTGTTCGAGTCGAAAATGGGAAGAACGGAACGCTACGTGTGTCCCGAGCTGTCCAGGGGGCACGATTGACACTTCCGTTCGTCTAGAAGGCGATTAATTGAAACGTCGACTGGGCTCGACTCGACTCGACTCGACTCGACTCGACTCGGCTCGGCTCGGCTCGGCTCGGCCTGGCGCGCGGCCGACCAACGCGCAGGGAGATAAAAGGCCTTCCACGAGACCGCGTCCTCGCCTACTTTCCCGGGCAAATAAGCGCGGTGGAAGAAAGTATCGTCGAGATAACGGAAACCAGAAGAGGGAAACCTCGGAGCCGATTGCGGGATTGCCTCGTCTCCCTCGGCTGACCCCGACCCGCGTTAGCGGGCGAACGCGATCCGTCTCGATTCGCGTCCAGGGTCGATCCTGATCGTTGACGGCGTGCCCTGGCGTTCCATGTTCCGTTGCTACCTTATTGGAAGGTCGGGACACGATCGTTTCGTTTCGCAGACATTTCAGTCACGCGTGCATAACACGGCCTATTAGGTATTACGTACGACCACGCGAATACGGGACCGACGACCTCTGAAACGCGTTTCGAATCGTCGCGCGCCTTTCCGGATAGACTCTCGTTTCAAAAGTCCAACTTCTTAGACGTACTCATCGATTAGTTTATCTCGCTGGAAAAATCTTACCGTCCTCCTTTTAGGTAGCAGATAATGCGTTTGTCAACGGTGCTACGTGCAGTCAAAGTACTCGACTTTATCTCGATCGACGAGTTTCGTTGTCACCTATTTGTATGCTCAGTTTTCAAAATCGAGTTCTCTGATACGACGTCGATACGGTTCTCGCTATCTGCGCGACTACTGGCGTATTCGTGGTTTCTTTTATCGCGGCTAATGCGATTTTATCACCTCGTTCTGGCACCGCCTTGATAAACAGAGTTTATCGGCTCGCTGGCCGATCAATTATACTTTGCTTATCGTAACGGCTGAGAAGTTATCGAATTCAAATGTTATACGGTATACCGGCTGTCGCAGCGACACTTCATTGCTTTTTCAAATGCTAAGCGAATCTTGAAATACAAACCACACGCAAGCGTAGTTTCCAGTGAGCCATTGCGCGCCTTATTTAGAATTCCTGTTCAAGCAACCGGCGGATACGTAAATCGTATCAACTTCCTCGCGTATACATGGAACGAAATGGCTTGCACGTTTTTCTTCGACGTAATTAGAAGCTAACTCTGGATATTGGCACTAATTAGTTTTTATCAGTTTTAACACTCGCCAAAGATAGAGAATCGAAGTCGGCTCCGTATCTTTGGTGAGAGCGCTCACTTTTCGAAACTTCACCTCGCGTGAATGTGTTCACCCGATTCCACATTCTCCGTGTGAAAATGTGAGATCCCTAGACTGAACGAATTCACTTCGATTCCACGGATCGGGTTCCAGTGCGCATCGACTACGGAGTAGTGGCAGCACCTTCGAATGGTTACAAAGTAGGGACCGTACCTCCTCCCTTCTTTTCTCTGCTAAACCCATGGACGTGTTCGATTCTTTCCGGTTCAATTTCGACTATGATGTAGACTGGTATTGTGGTTCTTTGCTGAGCGTCCTTTTTGCAGTTAATTGATACATTAAGTCTTCATCTCAGTGGTATCTTCTTTTTGTAGTAACAAACAAAGAATTTACGAAAGATGGTAAGTTCTCTCTACTTTGATAAACATTATTTAGCTATAAACATTTCTTTCGATTATAACCTCTCGATTTCGCTTTGTCATGATGGCATTTCAAATTACTTTTTCGTTAGTGAACAAATTAAATGAATGCGATATAATTAATTAAGGGTCTTACTTCCTCTCAAAAGTCACTTGATTCTTTCTAAAATCCTGATTTCATAGAAATGGGTGTATTTAAAATTAATTTTGGCTCGTAAGCATTTCCGTGGTAACTCTAAAAACTATCGATCGACCATTTCCTTCCCTTGAAAATCAGAGAAGGCGTGTTCCTAGGTGACGGTTCATTACAAGTGGAACGTAACTTTATAATTTAGCATTGTTTAAAAGCTTATGGAACAAAGGTACTTTCCTACATTTAATACGTCATACATTTGAATTTTGTTATTTTCAGTTTCGCAATCAATACGACAGCGACGTGACGGTGTGGAGTCCTCAAGGACGCCTACATCAAGTCGAGTATGCTATGGAAGCTGTAAAATTGGGGTCGGCAACGGTAGGACTAAAAAACAAAATGTATGCCGTTCTGATTGCTCTAAAAAGGGCCACTTCGGAACTCTCAGCTTATCAGAAGAAAATTATCCCTATTGACAAACACATGGGGATCACAATTTCTGGTTTAACTGCCGATGCTAGAATGCTAAGGTACTTGTATGTTTCGTATTGGAAAGAAATGAAAGAATTTCTGTATACAACACCTGGGATCTAAAAACGTCCCTTGTGTTGCTTGGCGTTGACATTAGGGTTCTATTAAAAGTGCTACAACTTGCACAAAGAGTGTAAATGAATTAAATTTTACAGTCGCTACATGCGCACCGAATGTTTGAATTACAAATATTCGCATGACGATGTTTTGCCTGTAAGCCGTTTAATAGCATCTCTTGGTAATAAGATGCAAACGTGTACCCAACGTTATGACAGGCGGCCTTATGGAGTGGGCCTGCTCGTGGCTGGATACGATGTAAGTTTATTTTTCTTATATATATTGGGAACTAATTATTGATAATTTTTCTGTACAAATAGTTGAACGAGTACATGCAACGTTAATTCCTGCTATTACCGCTATCTTTAGGATCAAGGTCCACATATATATCAGACATGTCCATCCGCTAATTACTTTGACTGCAAGGCTATGGCAATTGGTGCTCGCTCTCAAAGCGCGAGAACTTATCTGGAGAAACACGTAAACGAATTTCCATACTGTGATCTCGATGAGCTCATCAAGCATGGACTTAGAGCATTACGTGATACGCTGCCTAACGAAGTTGATCTTTCTGTAAAGGTAAACTGAGAACGGATCTTCGACTGTAATTATGAATTAATTTAAACATACTTTGTACGAAATTTTGCATTACTTTGTTATACGTGACGATCTAATCTATGGCAACATTTCAGAATGTGTCCATTGGTGTGGTAGGAAAGGGTAAAGAGTTCATCATCTTGGACGAAACAGCAACATTGGTATACCTATCGGAGATAGAAGGGGATGAGAAGCGCAATAGAAATGTGGAACCGAGTGTGGAACAAGACGATAAACCCCCTCGAGATCCACCTGAAAGGGAAGGCCCTCGTGACCCACAAGTCGACATCGCTATGGAGCAAATGGATACGGAGTGACAGGGACTATAACTAAAACGATTTTCAAGGTGATTCAATTAATCGTATGTTTTAATTAAATGTTCCCATTATTCATCTTGGATACTAATAAAAAATTTCTTTCGATACCGGTTATTTTCTTCTAAACTTTTTGAAATTGATACTCGCTCTTCCCGTTAGACAAGTCGTTTTAATTCTTACTATGTTTCAATATATATTCAATAAATTTTCTTTAGATGTCCAGGTTTGAAAGTCATACTTGGGATAATTGACGATCGCAATTTGACACCACGTAAAATCTTGGAACGAAATTTTAATAATATATTCAAAAGCCGGTGAATTCTTGGAATCCATTAACGTGTATCCAGTGTATGATCAAAAACTGTAGATTCACTTCTACAATTCAATAGTAATAACGGTACATACAAGTTATTTAGATTCCCAGAATCTTGGTGACATCACATGATTTGTACAATTTGATTAATCGGTTATTTTCTTGTTTAACGCAACTATACCTTCTTTGTGTGGAACCGTACGCAACTCTAGGAATGCAAAGTTGCCTCCTGAAGGACAGTAAGTTAACTACGAACTAAAGTCAGGTTTCCTTTTTCCGTTTCTTAACAATATTGGTTAAGAAGAATTCGCCTGCTTTGTAGGACGATCTTACCAAGGGACCACTTGCAGTGTACAGGAATCCCAATTCATCTCCATAATTTCTCCAGGACTCGAACTTTTCTGGAGTCACGTATTCAATGACTTTCAAGTGTCTTTTGGTGGGCTGCATGTACTGGCCCAAAGTAACAGCATCGACTCCTACGGACCTCAAATCTTTCATGGTCTGTTGCACCTCTTCGTCGGACTCTCCAAGCCCTAACATTATCGATGATTTGGTCACAATGGCCGGATTAATTTTCTTTGCACCTTCTAGAACGCTAAGTGACTGCCTAAAAATATTGCAATTCTAAATTGTTAAATTTCTTTTCTATTTAACATATATTTATGTTTAAATGATGTACAAATGAAGATAAATCCTGGCAGACATTAGAGTAAACTGACCCGTAACAGGCACGTGCATCTCGAACAAAAGGTGTAAGTCGTTCAACGGTTTCGATATTATGAGCAAAAACATCAAGCTTAGATTTAACAATGGTAGCTACGCAACCTTGATTTCCCCTAAAGTCAGGAACCAAACATTCTACAAGAATGTTACTTCTACAACAAAAATTACATATTAAAGCAATTAATATCATCGCACAATCCGTTACCGAAAGAAAAACATTGAACGATCGTTTGGTATACACTGTATCGGTGATATAATTTCTCCTTACATCTCGCGCACGCTTATACCTATAAATGTTTAAAAACTGTAACATCTACATTACCGTTCCTTTATTTCCTTTACTGTTGCTGCAATATGGCTAGCACCTCCATCTTCTAGATCTGTAAAGGCATAATGTGACGTGTACAAAGTGAAAAAATGTACAAGTTTACAAAATCGTTGAAACGTGCAGAATATTTTCACGCCCATAATGGGATGTTAAGAAAAAAGTATACCATCGCGGTCGACAGAAGTAAGAACTACATAATTTAATCCCCAGTCTGTAACAGCAATTGCAGTATTAACTGGTTCCTCAGGATTCAGAGCCGGTGGTTTCCGAGCTGTCTTCACTGAACAAAATCGACATCCACGAGTGCACGTATCGCCCATTAACTAAATTATGAATGGTATAGCTTTATTAAAAATAATATTAATTCAAAGGTCTCTTAGTAAAGTACCATTATAGTGGCCGTTGCTGTTCCATGACTTCCTCCACCCCAACATTCACCAATATTGGGACATCTTGCTTCTTCGCAAACAGTGCTCAGTTGCAACTGAGACAACTGTGCCTTTATCTTGGCATAATTCTTACCCATAGGTATCTCGGTCTTTAGCCATGGTGGCAATCTTAATCGCGATTGATCGTTCTTTTCTAATTTCAATTTTCCTTTGTAATCTGTATAATTCCCAGAAATAAAGTCCTCCAACGAAGGACCTTTGGCCAGCTTTGTGGACAAAGCATTTCCATTTGACTTGGAATGTTTTGCACACTGTAAAGGTACAACACATCCACGAGTCACTTGTTATTGAATAATGATATACTGTCCAATTAATGTCCAACGCGATCCATTGAGATACATTTTGAAATAAATATTTTATTAGGGAAGATCGAAGTAATTACAAGAAAGTAACTACTTTAGTCTAATAAGATTAAGTAGAGGTTAAAGCGACTATAAATTACCTCGATATGAAAACTGTTATTGTTCACACACTTTGTGCACAATAATATGCGGCGAATACGTAACATCTTTCTTCCCACTGAGACAATAGATATTTTTCTATTATTTTTAACTCATTACTGTCGATACGTGAACTTTCAAGCCATTTACAATCGGCCTATAAATTAATTACACAACAATTGTCCGTAACCTTCATAAGTGTTGCAAAATATTGACAACAAATTAGGTTAGTTCACCTATTTTTGTGGACGATGAATTAAGTAACACTACCCTAGGTTTAAACCAAGTGAAAACCTATTAAACTTCGGTTATCACGAGTCGTGGAACCGGGCCTTAATATACACGTGCCACGGGTTTTGTTATGCCGGCCATATAAATGCAAACAAACCAAGTGAAAACATTAATATCCCTAGGATTCCGAAAGCAAAACCTGCCATGAACTGTGTACAATATGAAGGGATGCCACGAGTGATATGCATTCAATAACTGTGTCCTATTACAATTGACCTCACTCGCACGAACATCTATGTCGATTTAGTAAATATTGGCTAAGCTATTGACGTTGATACTTCGGAGTGACTGGAAGTGACATTTGGTTTGATTTTACGAGAGGGGTGTTTCTAGAATTACGACTTGCGTTTTGAATGCTGCTTCGTCAAATTTAACTTCAAAGGTTAAAATTTAGTGTAATTAGTTGAAATTTCGAGCAGATTTCTTGATTTTTAGGGCCCCTCTTAGAAAATGTTCGAAAAGCTCCCAAAGACAATTGTTTAATAATGTTTCTTAAGTCATTTCCGAATAATGAAGGATAACAAATTTTCAAGTCAAATTCTATTTAGTGCATTACATTAAGTAGTTCTTCTGCATTAAGTATTTGAAATTGCAAGCAAATTTTCCATTCTTATCCCTTTTATTACGCGTTTGCTTATCTAGTTAATCTAATTGTCATTTGGAATAAAACCTAACCTAGATAGCGTTCTAGTTTTAATACTTTACAAAGTATGTGTTTCTTACAATACATATCTGTCTAATTATTGTAAGATGTCAAGTTACAATCTTCCATCAGAGATTTGGTATTCGAGTGTGTAGCAGGAAATATTTTGAATGTATTATGCTGTAATTTTTATAGATGGATACTTTTGGAGATAACTTTATTGCCGAGTCCGAAGTGGACCCAGCTGCAGAATTTCTAGCTCGGGAACAGGATCAGCTGGCTGGCTTAGAAGATGAAATCCCCCCTGCTGTATCTGTGCCATCGACGGTACTAGCAGTTGATGGTAAATTTAACTAAATTAATAAAACGCTATGTTTTTAAAAAATTAGATTAAACCATGTCCTTTTATAGGAAATGATATCAGTGAAAATTTCAATAATTTAAAAGTTGGTCCTGGAGGTGATGCGGAAGGCAGTTTCGAAATGATTAATGCAATTGATCAGCCATCAGAAATACTAGGTTTGTCATTTGATTATTTTAAGAAAAATTACTAAAGGAACTTAATCCAAACTATCTCCTAAATTTTATTAGAAGTTATATTGTTACATAATTTTCAGAATCTACTCCTGTTCCTCCTGTAAAGGAAGAGCCAGAAAAGATTCGAAAGTGGAGAGAAGAACAAAAGGCCAGACTGGAAGAAAAAGGTACAGTCCTAAAATGTTAAACATCCGTTTATTGTAAGGTACAATTGTGTCACTATTTTTAAGAATAAAAAAGTCAACCGACGACAAAGCAGCAAACATTTTCAACTTTTTGCGTAATGGTTTGTATCACTTGATAGATGCCGAAGAAGAGAGAAAGAAGGAAGAATGGAGACTCGCAGCGAAGAAGGAACTGGAAGAATGGTACAAACATCACACTGAAGCTATTAGCAAGACGAAGGCTACTAACAGGTGATGCACATACCACGTTTTTGTTCCTTACTAAATTACCCATTAACGTAAGAAAAACCACTGTCCTTCAGAATCGTGATCGTGTCTCAAGAATATAATTTTTGGAACGATTCACTCACAACATATCTAATCAGCAATACACTCCTAAGCTCCCATATTTTACATTAGTGATACAACACCGAGGTCATGAGCCCACGATTACTTTAAGAGCTGACAATTTTAAAGAGAGCAGCCTACACTTATAACAACTTAATAAACTAAACATTTTTGAAAATAGTCAGTCCTTGTTTGGATACATTTACAGAGTAACACTAAAAAAGGTGCTTTGAAAGTTATCGATGGCTTACAACCCTGCATCACATCAGGCTTCATGTGCAGGGGCTATTATTAGTTTATGAATCTAGATAAGTATTCTCTTGTTGAATATACAAAAATATCTGTTGTTTTCATTCTGCTTCTTAGGGAATCGGCCAAGTAAGTCAAAAACTATTACATTTTTTATTTGCATGCAAAGATGCATTAGACTCGTATGTAGCCTCCAGTACAGTTTTATGTCTGTGAGATATGATAAAATTCAGGCCTCGCAGCAAATACATTTTCAACTGGATGTGTCTGACTTGAATAGTCAATCGATATCATTGGTTGAAATTATTAATTCGATCAATTTTGCTTCATACCAGCTGCAACTATCTTTTAGCAGAAATGCCTTAATTATTATCATTTGCTACCCATGGTGTTCTTATGCACTCGAATGAAGTATGGGATGCAAGAAAATATGCACACAAAGTATTTTTTTAACCGGAGACATATTCTTTAGAGGTTACCTCCATACCTGAAACGGCATTTTTATCTATATTTGAGAATCAGACATTTTGATCGCGTTTTCCGCCTTCTGAATGAATCAAAAAGGTTCGCAGATACCTGTTTGCCAAATGCAACAATTTTAATTGACAAACAATTCCCTTGGTCCAAACGAGATCATATTAATGGCACTATGCTTTATCCTAACCTGGAAAAACAGCGAATGACTAAGATACCTTTGAACTCTGGCGAAAACTCACCCAACCTGTTGGAGAAAACACAAGTAACGCTTCACAGGAATGTCCGTTAATTCTTAATGGAATTTTCAAAGGAATGCTGTTCGTACATGGCATACTCGGAGCATAATGCATGCATGCACTGTATTTAAGTTTCACATAAATTGCACTTTGCCTCGTTTCTTCTAGAAACGCCGAGAAGCAATTTGTTGCGGAGGCTGACGAGGTAGAGCCAGGTACCGAGTGGGAACGCATCGCTAAACTTTGTGACTTCAACCCAAAGTCCTCTCGGACCTCCAAAGACGTTTCAAGGATGCGTTCCATCATCCTGCAGCTGAAGCAGACCCCTCCAGCTCCGGTCAATGCTTGATCAGAAAAATGGCTCGTACAGAATCCTCCCGCCGATCGTTGTTTGCCCTGATTATATGACAGTTCCCCTGCGAATCTAATTTCATGTCGAATGCTAGGGCCAAATAAGTACGAGAGTATGTTACCTCTATATTAAAAAAAAAAAAACAATAAATCGTTTGTTTGGATCAAATTTCACATGAAATGGATATTATACGTTTGACGGTTCGAAACTTGCCAGGACAACGAAGAAGGTAGTGTTTTGTTTCTTGTTTTGCCGATATAAAGCTCTATCTTATATATCGACGTCTTTCGACTTAACCCTGTGTAATATCAGATTTCTAATTGGATTTATTATTTTCTATTTAGAAATAGAAGGGTGTAATATACTTTGCGCTCGCTTAGAAAACTAGAGCGTATCTTACATTGTAATATACACGGAGAAAACCACGTATATTACATGCGTATTATACTTACCCAACTGCTTGCCTGGAAGGACGCTTCGAGTAATTGGTATAGATGAGAGATGGCGCTTCCTGCTTCGTCCCGGTGTTGAAACGGTACGTCGGGTTCTTGATTTATCCGCAGCAATAATGGTGCTGGTGTCGCAAATGTTCCATTACTGTGCTCCCCGAATCTTGGCTACTTTTATTTTTTCTCCGTTTCAGTCCAGAGATATCACCTTAGACAATATATATCTGGACCTCACATTGGACCCTCCACTCCACATTTCCAGTACGCACTTCATACCAGATTGGATAAATTCGGCTTTGAGTGCGTCTCCATCACCGAGTTGGTTTGTTATTAAATTAAATAAGGTGGTGGAGACGTACACAAAGTTGGATTTATCCAATTCGGGGTTGAACAAATACCGGGGATGGAGACTTAGCAAATGACGCTTAAAAACGGTTTAAATTTATACCGTTTACCGTACGTGCAAATAAAGAATTGTAAAAAGCTGCAGGTTCCATACACGACATTATATGGAGTTGAGAATTGATACCATAGAACGGTAAAAATATTATTAATGAGAAATTAATTTTTTCGGGTAATATAAGAATCAGAAATATCTCGAAATTCTCTCCTCGCTGTCCGTGTGATTGGTAGTTTCTCGTCCGTCGTTATCAAATAATGTGAAACTTGTTTCTTTATATATATATATATATCGTTTTTTTCCCTTACATATCTTTATTCGGCACATAATTTCTTGTCGAGTGATCTTACGCGAAGTGTTTGCCATTTTTACTTTAGTGAAAGTTTAAAAATCGCGGGAGTTGCTCACTTTTAGCATTTTCATTGGATGCGAGTTAAAAGATCGACCCTCGTAAAGGGGATCACTGGTTTGTTTTCGAACGTTTCGAACATTTGTCATCTGTCCGAAATCGACAACGTACCGTTTAAGACGAGTTTCCCGGTAGTCGAAGAGACGTCCCGAAAGGTATCACCCACTGCCGAGTGTTCCCAGGGGTCGAGGTGTTTTGAAAATAAGCTGTTTAGTGGCCAAGTCGGGAGCGCCTCGAATCGCGTCGCGTGTCGTTCTTCAGAATCCGACAAAGGACCGGGTCGGGCCCACTCGGCGCATTGGGCGCATTGTGCGCATTGTGCGCATTGTGCGCATTGTGCAAGTCTCGTTCGGGCATTACGAGTCGGGCCGATCCGGTGGCTTCCGATTGGTCCGCCCCTCGTTAAGTCTTCCGAGCGGAGTCTCAAGGTCGATCGCTCTCCTCCGACCTTGGAATCCTCCTCCGAAAATGGCATCCTCCTAAATCCCGCCCGCCACTGGTTGGACGCATCCCAAGATGGCGGTCGCGCGGACGAGAGGCTCGCCAAAGACCGGAACCGTAAAATCTCGTTTCAACATTTTATTTCGGTCGGGCTCGATTCCCCTCGAAAGGAAGAGGAATCTCGCGTCTCGAGATTCCGAAGTGGAGACGAACGCTCGACAAGGCGAGGGCAAGATTCGGATGACTCGGCTTTCGGGGTCGTCGGGCAAGCCAAGAGTTGCACCTGTCGCCGAGGCCGGGCTATCTCTTTCGAGCGCGTTTGCTCCAATTCCCCTTTGACCAAAGCTTTATGACCCTCTCATCCCAGTCGCGTTACGGTCCTTGATCGACGGGCATTACGGAAGAATCCCATTTACCACCGCCACCTCGCCGAGAAGGGAGGGACCGTAAATATCCGTTTTGGGTCCTGGATCCACTCGATTCGGATTAAAACGGTGCCGAGAGAATTCTGGGCTAAGTTTCGTAGACACCGGCAAGAACGAAAGTAGGAATAGAATCCGGTCCAAACTCAATGAAAACTCGTCCGAAATAAAAATCCCGTTAGGGTGTATCTAGAGCTAGCCGGTCAATTTCCCGTTGCCGGGAGGGGAAGGTGCGGAAAGTCTGGGTTTTCCCGGGGGAGAGCGGCGTACCTGGCGTACCTGGCGTACATGGCGTACCTGGCGTACCTGGGGGAGGGCAATGAGTCGGCGGAGGACGCTCACCGTCCGGGCCCGGATGGGCCCGGACGGACCCGGGACGGACCCGGGACCCTTTGGGTCGTCCGAGCGTGCCGACCCGCTAATCCCTAACAGGATAGGGAGACAATAATCGCGTTAAATCTGCAGGCCCGGTTTTGTCGCTTCCTGGCCCCCCCCGGGTTCGTTTACTCGGCTCGACGTCAGGTTAAGGCATTTAAGGTCGTCCGACGAGTCTTTAGCCCGGCGACCGTAAACACGATAATCGCCCCCGAAGACCCTTGCCTCTTCAATGCCGCTCCTCGATACCGCTCCTCAATGCCGCTTCTCAATGCCTCCACAATTGGCGAAAGGAGGTCAGAAAACCGACGGATTAAGTCCATTATGTCGACTTGGCCCCTTCGTCCCTTCGCCCCTTCGCCCCCTTTGGCCGCTCTTCGCCCCGCGACCGACGAAGCGAGTCGAATCGCGAGTCGAATCGCGAGTCGATCGATCGATCGATCGAAAGCCCTTCGGCAGAGGAGTTCGGGCAAACGACACGCGCGCCCGTCGGCCGAAAAGGCTGGAAAAGTCGAAAAGGCCGAAAAGGCCGAAAGGGCCGAAAGGGCCGGAAAGGCCGGAAAGGCCGGAAAGGCCGAAAAGGCCGAAAAGGCCGAAGGAGGTGCCAAAGAACGAAAGCGGTAAATAGAAGAGGGAGAGAAAAAAGTGGAGCAGCGCCGGATGAAGGTAGGATCGGTCCTCCGACGAGGACGGGTGCCGAGGGGTCGGGTCGGCCGTGGGCGGCGACAGGGGCCGCCATCACGAGGCGCCGCCTCGCCATTGGCCGAGAGGAGGAGCGGCGAGAAGGGAGGGGAGGCGCCTGGACGGCCGGCGGCGACGGCGGCGACGGCGGCGCTCGAGGAAGACGAGCCAGCGCCGCCGGCGGAGCAGCAACGCGCCGTTGCCGAGTACCGAGTGAGACGGTCGTCGCGACTCCGAGCAAATTCGGGTGATTCCGTGGCGTCGTTCGTGCGAGAAGTGTCGCGAGGAGTGTCGCGAGGAGTGTCGCGAGGAACGTCGCGAAGGGCCGGCTGCCCGAGGTGTCCGACCGCGTTGCGCTCGTCATGCAGTCCGCGCCTCGCTCCGATTGAATCTCGAGGGTCGCGACGGCACGCAAATGACCGACATCGGCGGCATCAGCATGGTGTCCTTCTACAACCCGTTGGCCATGTACCGGCAACAGCAACAGCAACAGCAGCAGCAGCAGCCCCAGCACCAGCAGCACCAGCAGCACCAGCCGCAGCCTCAGCCGCACCAGCCGCAGCCGCAGCCGCAGCCGCAGCCGCAGCCGCCGACGCCGACGCCGGCGGCCGCCCCCGAGGGCAGCCAGCAGTACTGGTACGGGTATCAGCACGTGCACCACCACCACCACCACGGCCACCAGAGCGCCGGCAGTCCCCAGCAGTACCTGGACCACGCCGACGTGATCGCCTGGCCCTCGCACTCTGCCCACTACGCCCACCATCTCCAGTACCAGCACCACCAGGCCTACCCGACGCACCACCAGCCGCATCACCTCCACCACTTGGCCCAGCAGCAGCCCCTCGCCGCCGGGGCGACCGAGTGGAGCGGCGACGAGGCCAACCACTCCGCCGTCGTCGGCGAGCCCAGCCCGCCCATCACCGTCAGCGGCAGCGAGGTGAGCAGCCCCGGGACGCCGGCGACGCCGCCCGCCAACAACAACAACAACAACAACAACGACGCTCCCGGCACGCCGGTCAGGTCCTCGCAGATCCGCAGCCCCTACGAGTGGATGAAGAAGCCCTCCTACCAGAGCCAGCCGAACCCAGGTCAGTGGAGAGAGAGAGAGAGAGATCGGTCGCGAAGCCGGCGAGGAGAGGGTCTGTAAACACGACCGCGACTTTGGCCCGGTCCTTCTCGATCCGCGACGCGTTACCGAGCTGACGAAAAATCGGTGCAGGAATCTCTTATCGGGCCAGATAAGAATCAACGGGGTCCGTCGGCGGGGCGAAAAGTCTCGGGGACTCGCGGCGAGGCCCGTTGACGTATCGCGGTTAATAAACACAGATCTTGCCGGTCTAGATAGGCGGCGAGCGATGCAAACAAGGTGTACCGGCCGGGCAAACAGCTAATTGCTCTCAAATATTTGTTAGATAACTCCGGTCTCGCCTCCGAGTATCGGCTCGATCTCCCACCGGCCAGCGGGACTCGCGATTAGCCCGATCCCGAATCAACGACCGCCCTCGACTCGAACCAACTCGGCCCCGACGGGGCGCAGTGCCTATTCAGAAACGATTCTTTGTGTTGTTGCAGCCTGCAAAGCAGCCGCGACGTCGGCGCTGCACGAGCTCTGCACCCTGGACGCCCTCGGTAGGACGCAAGACCGATGCGATACCGCGGGCCTTCTTCTTTGCTTTTCCGTCGGTTTGCATTTGGTGGCATGTGCACGAGTTCCCAAAGTAGTCCGTACCTTCCGTCTCGCGACCCATCGTAAAGCCATCGTAAAGCGGCTCCCCGTGCGAAAGTGGAAATCGCCCGATTTCGCACGTGGCTCGGGAGATTCGCTACGACAGTCAGGACGCGCGGTTTCCCTGCGAAATCTCGGAGCCGCTCCGTCTTTTCCGCCGCCGCGAGATCCAAGATGGCGCGGTCCCGCTTGGCATGCGCATTCGATTCCTTGGCTCGGCGTTGCTTTTTCTCTTTTTCCGGTTCTCGAGCGCGGCAACTTCGCCGATATACCTTCCATCGGCAATTATCTGCATTTTATGGCTATATTGCAGGCCGCGCTGGCACGTATCCGACCTCACAATGGCGGCGGTGGCGGCGGTGGCGGTGGCGGTGGCGGCGGCGGCGGCGGCGGCGGCGAGGAATACGTATTACGGTTTCGTGCTCGGTGCGGCAATTGCTCTCGGCGTCGGAGGGGCCGCGGATTGCGTGCCGAAGCCCGCACGCGATCCCGCGGTACACGGCCGCCGCCATGTCGGATCTCGCGGTCGGAGGGCCAGTTAACGAGCGCGATTTTACAAGGGCCGCCGACTCCGAAATGGCCGCCGTCGAGTTCGCGGGTCCGATTCGAGGAGGGGAAGGGTAGAGGATCCGGACGTCGTCGGGTCCCACGGTGCAGAGGCTGGACCGGCCGGACGATTAACAACCGTGATTTTATAAGCGCGAGCCTGGGGGCATCGAGGCCCTCTTTGCGCGTCCATTAAGTCCGCCGCGTCCGCCGCGTCCGCCTTGCGTAAGTGCTAAACCGATTTACGACCGACCTTTTTCACGTTTTACATTCTTCCTTCGATATCCCTACCCTTCCTCTCGCGTCTCTCGGTTGCGCAAGGACCCGGGGAGGCGCGGAGGATGGGAGGAGCTCTGCCCCATTGGAGGAGTCGGGGGCCGCCCGCGACCGCGACCGCGACCGGGACCGGGACCGGCACCGTCGTCGGGAATCGCGGATCGGCTGCCGCGACGCAGGCCCCGTTTTTGGGTTAGGTCCGAGGCATTGTTTCCTTCGGAGGGCATTTTAAGAGTCGTAAGGATTTCGGGGCGTAAGCCGTCCAATAAAAGTCGCCAGCCGCCAGCCGCCCCGTCGTAAAAGCGGCGCGGACGTGCGAGATTCCTGGGCCGAGTCGGCCGCTCGCGGCCGTATCTGAGCCTCTCCGCGCCGCGGCCGCACATATATAAACGTCCGCCGATACAATGGAAGTAATTGCGGGGGACGGGGCTACGTCGCCCTCGTCGCCCTCGTCGCGAAATGGAAGAGCAAACGCTGTAATGGGGTGGTAACGAGTCCCGGGAGCCTCGTTCCCTCCTCCCGGGCGCGCCCCTTTCCTCGCGGTTTTTACTTCCGAACCTCTGACAAACTCCGGCTCCTCCGGCTCCTCCGGCTCCGCGTCGCCCCGACGGAGAAGTCTTTTATCGTTGGAGCACGGTCGCAGCGGCGGCCGACACCGCTCGGCGAAAACTTATCGAGGGAATATGGCGGATTAATGCGCCCGGCTTTGATCTCGCCGCTCTCGGCCCGCTATCTAATCTCGCACCTTCCCGTCCTCGCCCCCGTCCACGCGATCGCCCGGCGGAGCTGCTCCGAGATCGTCGATCCCGACTTTCCGGGAACGAGCGACGCGAAGAAGGGGCCCGAGTGCGCATCTAACCGGCTCGCCTTTGACTATGTTTCAGGGAAGACTCGGACCAAGGACAAGTACAGAGTGGTCTACACGGACCATCAGCGGCTGGAGCTCGAGAAGGAGTTCCACTACAGTCGCTACATCACGATTCGCCGCAAAGCGGAGCTCGCGGCGAACCTCGCGCTCTCGGAACGACAGGTGAGACATTTCGCCTCGTTTGCGCCTCGTTTGCGCCTCGTTTGCGCGTCCGAAACTTTGAGGTCGTTTGTTCGCAGGTAAAGATCTGGTTCCAAAACCGGAGGGCGAAGGAGCGCAAGCAGGTGAAGAAGCGCGAGGAGCTGGAGCAGAAGGACGCCAAGCCGCCCGAAGGACTGGCGGCCCTGGCAGGAATGGGCGGTATGGGCGGTATGGGCGGCATGGGTGGCATGGGCGGCATGGGCGGCGTGGCCGCCATGGGGAGCGGCATGGGTGGCGTGGGTGGCGTGGGTGGCGTGGGTGGCGTGGGTGGCGTGGGGAGCGGCATCCTGGGCGGCCTTGTGCACAACGCCGGTCTCGCTCCGCCGCCGCCCTCTCTGGCCCTCGGCCATCCGCATCCGCACACGGTGCTGGGCTTGTGATCGGGAGGCCCCTCGCAGAGGCCGAGGAACGGCGCCGCCTCGCCAGGGAGGACGCGGTAACGCCGCTCTCGGTCGCACTCGAAGCCCGCACCGCCGACGGCCTTACGTTCGCGCAGCACCCCCCGGGGCCGCCGTTCACTTTTTCTTCGATCGTTTCCACGTTCCAGGTTGCAGCGCCTCGCGTTGGGCTTTGCGGCGCGTTTCGGTTACGCAACGGTGTGAACGCGTCGCTGGAAACGTTTCCCCCGAGGGAGTAGGAGGCGCGAAGACGCGCCCGGGGGGGAAACGACCTTTATCTCGGCCACGAAATTGTATATATGTATATGAGAGGAAAAGGGCATCGCCATGTCGGTACGCTGGCGAGCTCCAAATGAACGCATCTTTTTTCACGGTGCGGACGGACGCTCCGGTGATTCCGCCGGATCCGGTGGGGTACGGGCACGAGTCCAGCGGCATCGAAAGAGGGTAGATTCGAAGGAAACTCCTCGCTCCACCTAACGTACGTCCGACAATTTGTAAATATAGTTCTAGCGAGCCGTAAGTTATTATCGCGGTTAATTACTTAGCTACTTAGATACGACCACGCTAATGCCCACCCGCCAGACGCTAGAGTCAGACTTGGGATTTGACCGAGTCGCGATCGCGTCGGGGGATCCGAAGAGAAGCGAGATCATCCGGAAAAATCGGGTGACGCGCGACTCGATTGCGAGCGCGCACCGACCGAGGGTGGAAACGGCCGGGTGAAGAGGTCAAACATCGATCTGGTAGTTAACTCGAGGGCTCCCGAGAGACTCGTTGCCGTTTTCTCCCACCGCCGCCGACGTCGGCGTCTCGCATCCCCCAGCCCCGGGATATTATATTACCGCAAACCGCAAAGAATCTTTATGCGTCGCGAATCTCGTGGCCGTTTCCGCCCGATCCGCCGCCCGATCCACCGCCCGACCGACCATTTTAATCGGTTACACTTAGTCGTTCCTTCCTTCGCCGATACGGTACGCAATGTTGGTAGATTCACGAAAAATATACACGTTTATAGCAACTTTTTTTTCTTCCAAACGTTCACTCTATTCTCGTTGGTTATACGTACGTATTCCTCCGCGTAATCTATGTACTCCGAAAAACTTGTTCAAACTTGATTTATCTTTCGCGAACGTGGACTCGTGCAAGATTCAGAAGGCAGGGAGCCGATTTTGTCATTTGAATCTGGTGAAAATGTTACAAATTAGCAATTCCCCCGATTTTTAAACTCCCACTGGGACGAAATGTCGGATACTTCACGTGAGATTACTCGACAAGGAACTCCGTACCGAATGACGATATGTAAGGGATAAGAACGTTGTATGAAGTGGGAAAGAAAGAGTCGAGCAACGAAAGCGTACATTTTTAACAAGTTCGGATTCCCTTGAGGTTAATACGACCTGCACAGCTGCGTTCGAATAATTTGATAATGATTCGCGAGAACCGCCAGTCACGCGAATAACAAGGACATCACCTCAAGATATTTCTGCTAATCCGTGTTGAATTCCAGAAAATCTATTTCGTAATACTAACATTTAACGGTATATTAACAGTGATGATTTTTGTCGCGCAGTAAGATCAACTTCATTTTTGTATTACGTCGCGATAGAACTTGCAGATTTTTCCAATTCTTTGATTGCATGTATGGTATGAGATTTAAATTCAAACCGTTTTTAAGCGTCGGTGCAGAGATCTCGTATTTTCACTCTGAAGATACAAAATTGGTTAAATGAACCGAGATCAGATGAAAGCGCAAGAAGTGAGCACTTTTATCAATGATACCAAACCAATCCCTGGGTAGTGGTGTTATTGCTCCAGAGTCCCGAAGGTAGATTCCACTAAGGCCAATAACGGTAACCCCTAGGTGCAGTCAAAGCTTGATGTTTAGAGAGGCGGAGCGCGCCCGCAATTCATGTTTTACAACTTCCAACGAGCTCTGGCCACCTAGTGGCCGCACACTCAACTGCTCCGTGCTTGGTAGAGACAAACGACAAATTTATACGATACCTACCGACTAGAGAACTCTGACTCCCGTCCTTACCGACGGGGAAATTGAGGGACGGTTTTGCATCTCCGACAGGAATGCTCACTCTTCGCACTTTCATTACAGCGAAGTTTCAAAACGTTTTCTACCATACTTTTACAATTTCACTAGGAAGACACAAAATCGGATGAGATGAAAGCTCAACAAGTGAGCACTCTTACCTAAAATACAAAATCGACCCCCGAGTCTACGTCAGTTTCCATCGACCGTGGAAACATATGCTATGTATACGAAATCGCGTCAGGTGCAGACACGAGAAGAAATAACGCGACAAATGTGATAATTTACCGTAAAACGTACAACGATAATTTCCAGTACGACGAACCCTGACATGAACGATTCGCAGGTCGCCGATGGGGTAAACCTATTTTTTCTCCTTTAGGAAATCACGTATCGTACCTATAAATCATCATTCTCATATATTTCGTACATTTAGCAAACATTTAGTTTCTACGATGAATCTTAAGTTTACGGCTCGTGAAAGAAGAGCTCGGGTGGCAGCATGTAGTTCCCAGGACGCAAAGGAATATCGGACAGTTTCTGGTCCACGGGTTCTCGCGTATCATAGAGACTCGGAGCTTGAAAAATGATTCCCAAAGTGCCACCGATGCAAGCCAGGGTGAATACCCAAAGAAAGAACCTGTCCAGGACCATTGCCACAAACTTCCAGTCTTCTATAACCTAAACAAAAAAGATGCCGTCTTATTGTTTACGAAACAAGGTGGTTTTATTACTTTAGACGTATCGACGTTTAGACGTTTAGACTTGCTGGAAAACAGGATTGACAGATTTCAGTATTCACCTCGTTGTCCTTATCGGCATCCTTTATGTGCTGAGCAATAAAACGCACTCCCTTGAGTGCAGACAAGACATCGGGTGGCAAATGTCTAGGTATCGTATTTTCGCTGTCTGTAACTGCAATATTAACTGGCTGGGTACTTTTTAAACTAAAAAGAATTCATTTTCGCATACTGCTCAATAAATTCATTTGGACGCTGCTCATACTGGAGCAGCCGCAATCGATAAATAACAGTCGTTATACCTGAGACGTGTCGTATATGCTGATTTTCATCCTCCCGAATGCTTTTGTACGCCGCTGTAATACTTTCGAAACCATCTGGGCTTCCCTTCAATTCAATTGGGTAATCGCTTACACTTCCTGGAAGGCTAAATCGATAATTTCCAAGTTGAATCCTTAAGATCAACCGTATACGAATACCCGGATACTGAAACTACGTGCATAAAAAGACGCTAAGTGTTCTTATCATTTAAGCAAATTAGTTCATATAGTAGAATTTCACCTCAACTCGACTTCATTGCTGTATCCGCTGTCTGGATAGGTAGTTTCATTCTCCGGAGCGGCATAAGCGGTACGTCGCATCATGAGAACTCGTGGCATCCAGTTGAGAAACACTTGTCGAACCCATCCAGGCATGTTATGGGTCGACGGAGAGCTATTGAAAAATAATCAATTCGATGATTCCCTTCTTTGGCGCGTGTAGAATTTTAATATTGCCCCGAATTAAGGGAATGCAAAACACTTACCGAAAATGGAAGTTAAGAACCACAACGGTAATCCATATCGACAAGGTCACCAAAATCATTGTGAACAACAGGTACTTTCCAAGCAGTGGTATAGCCAAAGAAGTCGGAGGGATGATTTCCGCCAAGAGCAAGAAGAACACGGTCAAAGACAGTAGAATCGACGAGCACAGTGAAACCTGCAGTTAACGCGAATTTTGGACACGCATCACGAGAGAAAGATAACCCACGTATCAAATATTTAGGCTTACTTTTTCACCCGAATCGCTGGGCAAGTAAAATACCAGAACTGTCAGGAAAGTTATGCCAACACACGGAATTATCAAATTGATGGTATAGAACAATGTCTTCCTTCTCATTGTTATGTTGAAAGTGATGTCTAGGAAGTAAGCGGCACTTGTTTATATTCAATGGCATTTAATTAATGGAATTACTAGCAAAGTTATTTAATTCACCCGAATATGGTTCGTCACACCCTGGATAATATTCCTCGTTCCTCGCTGCAGGGACCTCAAGAATGTCCCATTCTACCGAGAGATAGAATTCGCTTAAATCGATTCCAATCGGCACTAAATTGCTCCCAGACACTTGGTCCATATGCTTCAAGTCCACCTGAAAGTTTTTAACAACTTTTTTTCCAACGTGGACTTTGTAGAAAATCGAGTTAAAAAATAAAACTTTACAGACGATGATCCCCGAGACACTTGGAAGATTAATCGACACTGTCATTACCTGGGCACCGTTATACGTCCACGAGCCGAATTTCATGATGCACGATTGTTCATCGAAAGGAAAATACTCGACATTAATTTCACAGGAAGATTTGTAAATAGCTGGAGGTTTCCAAGAAACTTCTCCCGTGTATTTAAGCGTGGCTTTTGTCATCAGGGTTACCTCGTAATTACCATCGGCACTGTTAATGAAAATCCGCATATCGTTAGATCGTTAGGAATTTTAGGATATGGGTTCAAAAGAATTTGAGAAATAAATTTCTTCCCTTTTCAAAGATAACTCACTTGTTGTACAGCACGATATCCGGTAACCACAGGTTTTCGGATGGTACGTAGAGCATTTCAATTCCACCGTATTCTTCGGGATCCCATCTTAATTTGTAATCGAACCATTTCTGTAAGAAATGGATTAATATTTTATTCGTTTACACGTTTGATGTAACCTAGGGTAAATCATACGAGGAGAGTTCACCTGCTCCACCCAAACATTGGTCGTCATCACTTGATTCTTCAAGTTCTGTGAACCACCGATAAAACCAATTAATTCTCCTATGGACGTTGTTAGAGGTTGCACAGGGTAAATAAACTGGTTTCGTATACTTAACCATCTCGATTAACTGTGATAATTTTAGCCCTAACCGGACCGTGAGCGTTTCGGTGTTGTTAATGACTGGCCGGATCAGTCGATTGTAATTTGATAACAAATCGTCGTACAATCTTTTCGAGTCAGGATTTGCCTCGTAATTTTTCATGACCGCAGTTCCTGAAACTAAATACTACCTCGAGTGTAGACATTACCCGATTAAATTCAAAGGAGTATCGTGTCGCCGATTATTCCTTCATACGATTTATTCGGAAAACAAGCCGTCGAAGAAGAAATGCAGCGAATACGGTCGCTTGGATCCAATGAATCCATTTATACATGATAAAGAACGCGTGCAGGTGCAAGGGTCGATCGCAACGGCCAACTTACCGCAGTTTACGCCAAGAAGAACGAAGAGAACGTACGCAACGGGCGCGTTTAACTCGAGCATCGTACTCGGCGACTCTGGGAGACTCCGAGAGCAATTTTAGATGGAACAACGAGTACTTGTCTAGATCGGACGGTGTGCACTGGTTTGCACCCTGCTACCAGCAGGCGGATCGATGACGCACACGGCGCACGCTCCCACCCGGTCCAGGCATCCCCCGACCCCGTCTTCTACCCTGGCGCCAATTGGCGGAAAGCCATTGACTATTGGCGGGGACATTGACTACATCCGGGTGCACACGCGGCACGCGTTAGAAGCGGACCAGCGGACTAGCGGTCACTGGGTCCGGCCAGGGGAAACTGACACCAGGACGGGCGAGCGGGGAAAGACGAGGAGAGTCCTCCCCGGATCGGGTGAGCCAGGATTTCGGCGAGGAATACCAGAAAGGCGACCAGATCCCCCAGGACGAGGCCGAGGAGCTGACCGCAGTGGGTGAGCGAGCTCCCGGACTCGCCCTTCGCCGGGATGCCCGACCCGAGGCTCCCGAACCGCCGGGAGATGTCGACGTACCACTTCCGCTCCAACCCGGCCTCGACGATCCGCCTAAAGACGTCGCTGAATTTCTCCGCGTACGGCGAGGTCCGAGGGAACAGGACGGTCCGGGGAGCCGACCAGAAGCACTCCTTCAGGACCCGAAAGACCGGCTCCCCGCCGACCCGCGTCTCCGCGGCCGTCATCTCGGCGACCGAGGACTCGGTCACGCAGGAGGTGTTCTTGTACCGAAAGGCCGCGAGGAAGCAGCGCTCGATATATCTGATCCCGACGGCCCTCCTCCCTAGCCTACGCAGAGCTCCGTCCGTCCCGTCGAAGGTGACGTCGAGCAGGTTCGCGTTCACCATGAGCCCCAGGCCGGACTCGTCCAGGTCCTCCAGAGTCTCCAGCTTGACCTCCTCGTTGGGCAGCAGGACGGCTCGCGTCAGCTCCGCCAGGAGCATCGACGAGAACTGGAAGTACACCGCGACCATGGCCGCGTAGACGACGCGCTCCCCGAGCCTGGCGGGTAGCCTGTCCGGGGAGCCCGCGGCGGCGCCGATCAGCGTCGAGAACACGTTGAACGGCTCCCACGGGGCCCGTTCGAATCTCATCGCGACGGAGACCGCCCGGAAGAGGGCGACGAAGGCGCAGCCGAGCGCGACGATCGAGAGGAGGTTGCGCCCGAAGGCGACGTTGGTCCTCGAGAGGATGGGCACCAGCGCGCACAGCTTGAGCATTTGCGTGGGCTCGCTGAAGGTGACGCTCGTCCTCAGAGGGGTATACAGCATGTACAGGCTGGTGCCCAGGACGTCGAAGCTTCCTCGCTCCAGTTCGGCGAAACTCCCCACGACGGTTCCGTTGCTCCTGATGTGCCCGTACTCGTCGGTCTTCCGAGGCAACAGGTCCAGCGTCAGGTTCAGCCGGTCCCTCAGCGTGGTCAGCCTGCGTCCGTCGAGGCCGTCCATCTTCAGGATGTGCCCGGTCGCGTTCCTCTCGATGGCGCAGTAGGGGAGCCGGTGGATCAGGTCCACGCTGACCGGCCGGCCCCGCAGGTCCCGCAGCTTGTCCGGGAACAGCGGCCCTCTCGCCGAGGGGAAGGCCTCTCGCGGCCCTGTCGCCTCGTAGGTCTCGGAGAAGGGGTCGAACCCGTGGATCCACCAGGGGCTGCGGCTGCCGTCCTCGGGCCCGCCTCGGGGGCGGACGATCTCCAGGATGACCACGTCCAAGAATTTCTTCTGCCAGGCGTACCGCAGCGCGACTTCGTAGTTCGCAGCCCTCGAGTGGGAGAAGAACGCTAGCAGGCACCTCGGTCGGGAATTTCTGACGGCCAGCCGATAGAGCAGCTGGACCGTTCCCTCCAGTTCCGAGTCGCTGGCCGCCTCCTCCCAATGGTGGACCATCAAGAAGAAGGTCGTCCTTCTGAGGTTCGCGAAGCTCGGGAGCTCAGAGTACGAGCCGTCCACTCCTTCGATTCCGCCAAACCCCACGGAGAGGCAAGGAACGGAGCCGACCACCTGGCCTATGCTTTCATCCAGTTGCGACCTTATCACGGGATCCGATCCTTTCTTCCCGACGATCAGCAACACTTGATACGGTCCAATTTCTTCCTTTAACTCGGCCATGAAAGCTTTCCACCGGTTCGAGTGATCCGCGACTTCTGTCTCGGGCCCGGTCATCGCATCGTACGCTTCAAAGAGTATAAATAATAAACCCATCGACGTTATGATCCTTCTTTCCATATTTCAAAGCCTTTATGGCGGTTTCTACGGTACGGCCTTGGGCTGAGCTTCGACGAATTCCCTCGAAAACTTCTTCCCGATTCCTTGGAAGATGCCTTGGAAAGGCTCGACGATTCCTCGTTGAGGAGGCATAAGTACTCGAGTATTCCGGCTGATCGATGCTGGTCGATCCATGGAACGAAATTGTCTCCATCCCATTACCGTTTACCCCATATCGTTACGAGTGCATTTGTAACGAGTCCAAAGTGGGCCGCAACTATCAGAGCTCGTGTTTCAAGTTATGCAATGTACAGTATGTTCTTCTAGGAATCCCTGCAATTTTTTTCTTTACTTTTACTCCAACTCGGAACAATCTGGTTTATCGTCCTCAAGACCACTTTTTGCATCGTTAACTTTCGTTTCCACATGGACGGGTCAGCACGTCGCACGCTTCACTGAAAATATACCCTTTGGCATGCCAACTTTGTCAGGCAACGGAGAATTCAAGAACACTCGGATAAGAAAGGAGTAGACTTCTTTTAATGTCAGGATTTTTTTATATATTAACACTAACGTCCCTTTATCGACTCACCGAGTGTGACAAATCATTCAAAGTATTAATTAATTATATACAAGGTAGACACAAGGAAGGTAATTCCATCGTTTTCCATTGATACTTTAATACTAGCAAGATTTTACCTTTGACAAATGCAATCTTTGCGATTAACATTAACCCCAAGAGTGCAGTTTTGGTCATTTTTAAATCATCCGACGTTACTGGCGCTTCTTTGTAACTTTAATAGCTTTTGACTTTTGTTTCTCGCTGCCAGAAAGGAACGAAGTTATCATTTCGGACATCTCTGGCATATTGTATAGGGTTAAATTGTTGAGCTCTTCCATTTCCTGGTAAAATATTGCTAAGTGAGATATTATTTTTTAACTCCAACTTTATTTGAAAAAACAGCAAAGTCCTCTGAAAATTAAATAACGTGATCTAAGACTATGGTTTACATACCTTTCTAGTTTCAGGATCGTTCATCACCTTTGGTAAGATCATTATCAGTAGCAATGGCAGTATCATCATGAGAACCTGAAGGAACAACATGTACGAATGCTGATAGATAGCATTACATTGGTATAGTGCTTACTTACATTAAAAAGTTCAATGTCAGAAACTAATAAACTAAAAGGAGATATGCCCTTACCATAGGATTGAATAAGAAGTCCGTCACTCTCCATTGCTCTCGGGCTTGGAAATATCTAAACGGAGCAAAAGGCCTCATCTTCAAAGGGTAAGGTACCTGAACCACTTGCGATGTTTGAACCAAGTTCAGTTTCCGAGCTCGGAATTTACCCTTAGAATTAATTTCCACTCTTACTGGCTCGTACGCATAATTTGGATTAACTATTTCGATGATATACGAGCCCGATGGAACATTTGAAATAACAAACGTGCCATCTTCTCTGTATACAAGAACGCAATTTTGTTAATTCATTACATTTTGACAAAGCACCAGAATGAATAACATTCTTCTAATAAGCCTCGGGTACACACATGAAATATTATGTACACAGTTCACGATCATTTGTATTAATTCTTAAACTAATTTGAAAATTTTGCAGGTGAATAGTAAGCAATGGATTAATGTAAAAATTGAGAATTCTAATCATTTACTTGAGAAATCCGTAACGTTCTCCACCATTAGCCATGACGTGTGTCATAACCTGCCAACCGGGAGAGGCTCCGTTTTCCCAGGGGAAAACCTTTCCCTCGATAATGTAACGATCGGTCGAGGGATCGTCTTCAACTTTTGCACAGACATCACACAGAAATACGAAAACTAGAGTGAAAAGTATTGCTGCCGCTTTCCCACGAGGCAAGAAAATCATGGCAACAGCTTTCCTGTCGCGTAATTCGTTTCAGCTGGTATCAGCAGAGATGAGTTGGGAGATTGCTCACGGGCAGGATCGTGCGATTGCAGCCTGTGCTGCCCTCTGGTTTCGTACGTTAGCTTTCACCAGAGATGAGCATCTCTGACATTACTGTACTTACCTCGAACCAAAAGACGACTACGTCGTAAAATGTTTTAAAAACGATTGAAAATCGGAGAGAAGACTTTATGACCAATTCTAGAGCGCACGTCGAAATCCGCTCCTTTTTCTGTGATAATAAAGCAATAACTATAAATGAAGTGGTAAAATATATTTGATAATCCCCACAATCGCACGATCCTGCCCGTAAGCAATCTCCCAACTCATCTCTGGTCTCACAAACCCAGATTTATCTAATCCGATACTGAATAAATACAGAGATGAGTTGGGAGATTGCTCACGGGCAGG